GGGTCTGAGAATCACCATAGGCAGTTTAAGAACCCCTGTATTTCTCAATAATTGTAACTGTCTAAATAATTTTGCCTGTGCTATTTAGACCTTTTCCCCTTCTGCCAGCCTAGTAAAGAATCCTCCTTTAACAGAAACGTACCTGCAGCTATGGGGGCCCACCAATGACTACAGAGACCCACATAACAGCAAGCTATGTGTACTATAACTCAGACTGCTCTACCACAACATTGCATTGAGGTTAGTTACAGCAAGTTTGATTTCTCTGGGCCTTGTCCAATATTTCATTACTCACTTTCTTATCACTCTGCTTCTCATAATGGAGAGAACCTACAATCAATTTATTACGAAGGTCAAATTCTGATGGTCTGACTCATTCAAGAAGTGGTATTAAGGAGTTTGTAATTCACAAATGATTTGTGGTGCAGGACAGGCATATGAGGATATAAGTTAAAAAGAAGTCAGCATCTACAAATTGCTTTCATCCAAAACTCTAGCGTAAATAGATTGGTTGGTTGAACAGGACTATCTGGCTGAAAAAAATTACTTTTATGCACCAGGAGAGTCAGATGTTAGAGCTGGGGGAGAAAGTTAATTCTGTCTCACGAGCTACGTCTACACTGCAGGGTTTTTGCACAAAAATGGCCATTTTTGCGCAAAAACCCGCAGCGCGTCCACACCTCAAGTGCGCTTTTGTGCAAGTAAATCAACAGTAAAATAATAGAACAGAGGGCTTTTTGCAGTGTAGGTAAACCTCCTTCTATGAGACATAACTCCTTTTTGCGCTACAGCTGTTGCACAAAAAGGCATGTGTGGACCCTCCGCAGGGATTTCTTGCACAAATAGAGCCTATCCAAAAAAGCATAGCTGCTCTGATGGCCATTCCCCATTTTCCCCTGGGAACAGGGGAAAGTGCACAAAGTTTCCTCCGACCTGCCAGAAGTGCGCGGTGCTTGGAAGCGCCATGCATACCTGGCAGGGCATGGATGCCTTGGGGGAACCTCTGGGGAGCGGGGCAAAGACTTCATGCACTCCCCCACCCCCAGACCAATTATGGTCTGTGCGTGGGGAAGCAGGGAAGTATCCTGGCCCCACCTCTTCTGGTATGGCCCAGGGCCACTTCAAAATTTTTTTGCCAACCCCTGGCTTAGAGTCTGGGGCCAATATAAATGATTCCAGAAACACTAATAACTTTGAAATATGAATACTTCTGACTATCTAACCATCCACTGATCGGAAAGGGTTTCCCACTGGGAAGGAAAGGATTATCCAAACTCTGCTCTTTGAAGCAATGAGCTGGCAGTCTGGCACAAACAGCTGGTAGTCAGCAGGGGCGAAGGCCATTCTAGTTTCTGCCAGTGAACTCCAGGTAGCAGTTTTAAGGTGCTTATCAGCAGATGGGGTTAAGGAATATTAGGGTTGAATAATGAAAAAATGAATAGTTTGAAGAACAGTGATTCTAAAGTTCTAACAATCTTTCTAATCACAGCTTTGCCTCTGGGAAGAGAAAACAAACAAAAAAGCCCCTCCATAAGCCCAAGCCATTCTAAAAGCAGTGACTAGAAAGTATGTTCTCTTCAATTTAGAATCCTACAAGGGCACAGTGAGTACCATGTTTCATCAGCATAAATAATTAACTGTAGGACATGTAATATTCATAGCTGAAAATCATTAAACAAAACAGGCTGGAAAAAAATCTTGAACATGAAGTGATATTAATCATTTAGCCACATATTCAGCTCTTCTTTTGTTTAATTATTTTTTTTAAAACCTATTCACTGGCAGATGTTGCTCTGCAAACCCACACAAATTCCCATATGCAAGGCAGCGAGCCTGAGGTTCCACAGTGTTAATTAATGTTATGAGGCATTGTTAATGATAGTGGACAAAGTTAAAACTGAGAGCTCTTTGTGTTCAGTAAATTGGGGATGAAAATGGGTCAAAAGAACAATACATTTCAAATAGCATTTGTCTTCTCAGATGCATTGTACACTCCCAGCTGTTCTTATTTGTGCAAGGAAAAAGAAAAAAAACCCAAACCCTAGATTTCCTATATCACCAAACATGCACAATGGGAAGACCCTGCAAAGCCCAGGATTTCAAAAGTAGAAGGGATTACTCCAAAACCCAGAAGCTTCATTAAGATTTCTGAGCTGGACTGGGGGGCGGAGAGGGAGGAGGGGGGAGGGGGGAGGAGTGCTTTTGTATAAGCTCTGAACATAGCATGTTAAGCAGAGAATTTTAGAGCTATGCTTCCCATCTTTCTGATAAGGAGATTTCCAGGCAAATTCTACAAGTCTGCATTGTTCAACTCATGGCCCAAAGAACAATCATGTTCAAATTGGCTATGTCAGATCTCACTAAAGTTTCTTATTGTCCTCTGCCTCTGTGACCTCTCCCTCTTCCTCTCTCCTTTTTGGCTTGGAAAACTAGATCAGGCTGAGCCCCAAACCAGAATCTTTGTTATGTGAGTCCATATTTTTTGACAGGTGGGCTCATAATTGAGCAGATAAGATTTAAAATGCATAGATGAAATGCATAGTACTAGTCACAATTATCTTGAATATTTGGAGGATGTAAATCCTTGAATATCTGCTCCCTCAGTATTCTGTTTCATACCATCCAAAGGATGAATATTTGGTATTTGATCTTTAAAAAGTATTTTTTTAAAATAAGAACATACATAAAAGGTCACTTGTTAGTGGTCACATTTGACTCATCATGTTGTGGATAGTGCACCATGTTCAGATCCAATTCTGCAAAGCTTTACTTGTGCAAATAATCCTTACAACACAGGAGCAATTCCCATTAGGCCAATTGAGTCACTTGCCAAAGATGGCTTTGCAGACCTGAGTGCTCAGTTGCATCCCTCTCATGAATAACAGGATGGAACAAAAATGATCCAATCATACTTTCAGAAAATGTTCTTCTTGATCATAGATGGCTATTTCTGAACTGAATTTTTGGTAGATCACAAAATAAAGAGCCAGATTCTGACCCTAGTAAAGTCACTTTTGTGCTGCTTCAGGGTTTAAAAGCTGCTTAAATGGGTAGCTAGTAATTCCTCTGACACATGCAAGGTGCAAAATGTATTATTAATCCAGCATTGGGACTCAAAGGGTAGGGCCCTGTCTTATTTTTTATTTGCAAATGTAAAATAATATGAAATTACATAAAAAGCAACCTATAAAATGAAGTAAAATGAAAGACTTACCCCTCAGGTGGCTCCTATAGCTCCTGTCCAATGGGATTGGGCCTTATTCCAGGTGTTGTAAATTGAGTCTCAAACCCTTCCTGAGATTTGGTCCATCTGTCTGTCTGTCTATCATGATAGGGGGATAACTGGGCCAACTTTGACTGAGTGGCATCATGATATATAGAAGCCAAGTCAAAGCTGAGTGGCAGTGCAATCCCATGTGCCAAGTCACAATGCTTGTAGCAGGAAGCTGGGCCCAGCCCTGGAGAACCGGAACAGTCTCTGCAGAACTAGTGTGGGTGGGTTCTCACTTCACAGACCATAGCCAGGGGTACCCTCTATTCCCAGGCTTCCCATGACAAAACAAAATAAATTCCTAAAATATAAAATGAAAAATTATTAAAAAAAACCTAGAAGATTTGCCTGGCGTTACTTGGGTTTTTAACTCAATTAATTATTTTTTTTTAGAAAATAAAATGAAAAAGTACATGCTTCATTTGAAACATTGCTCTGAGATGGGGTTCAATATGCAGGGTGTCCGGGGGAGAGAGGAAAACCCCAGGCCCCTCTCACTGCAGCAGCTTGGGGCCAAGGGAGAAGCTCCAGTAGATACAGCTGGGGGAAGGGTGCATGTACCCCGTGGGGCAGGTCCAGGTTCATCTACCCCCGGCACTCCCCAGCCCAAGTGAAGAATGCAGCAAACTGTGCAGTTCCTCTCACTCCCTAATTTAAAAAAACAGCAGCAATGTCCCCATATGCATCAGGGGGTGGGGGAAAGTTTCAACCCCCTCTGTCCGCCATAAAGAGAAGCTTGGAGTTGGGGGAGTCTCAGGCCAGCCCCTTTTACCTGCCTTATAATTCTATCTCTTCTGTATGGATTCATGAGAAGCAATCCCATTCCAGGCACAACCAAACCCTTACATTGCTTTAAGTTATGATAAGAGGAAGCTGTATACTGAATAAGGTGGTCCTAGCGCTTACCATTTAGGAGGCGTTCTTGAACAGACAGACAAACAAACAGACTGACAGACATACCCTCTCAAACATGTAGGAGATAAAAAGAATTTTAGGGGGAAATCTCTCAAGGGGTGTGACTCTGCACTGACTTATATAGTCATTAACACCCATGAGCAATAGATGTAAAATTTACCAAGTCAGAATTGTGCATTCACTCACACTGAATGGTAGCATGTCACACCCACTTTGCACAGATGTAAATTACTTACACAAAAACAAACTACAGAAGATTGGGGGGGGGGGTGGACTTATGAGTAGTCCACTCTATTTCTATTTGTTGCATGTAGAATGCAATGTCTACATAAGGTAATTCATATTTCTTGTGGGAAGTTATTTGGCATTCAGGAAAAGGTGCGGTATATTGCACATTGACTCATTCCAACACTTTCTCAGGATGCCCAAGACTGTGAATCATCATGTAGTCCTCACTGCCTCATCAAGAGAAAGACTTATTGGTGCTAAACAGGGTGTCACTTCCTGACACCCTGCAACAGTCTGTATCCCTATATTCATTCCTTTTACAAGCCCTTGATAAATTTTTTGCAAAGTATGCTTTGTGGTGTATCATTTGAAAAATCAATTTGCTGCTCATTATTGTCCTGGTAAAATATATGTGGCAACATTGTATGTAAGGTGTCATGATTATGAGGGTTAGCCAGCAGCCTGGGGATTAAGGGGTTAACTACACTTAGCCAGGTGAAGTGACCAATAGGACTGTAGGTGAGACTTTCATACTGGGACAAAGGAATTTGGGTGTTTTTTTTTCTCCCTTTTGTCTGGGGAGAGAGTTCTCTGCAACTACAGAGAGGGAGAAGCATGTCTCTCTCTCTCCAAGACACCATTCTTCAATTTCTGTAAGTAGGGTAAAGTTTAGGTAGTTTCGTTAGGTTTTATTATTTTAAGGATTGGGTATGGGATCTGAGATCTGGCACTGGTTAAAGATGTTTTGACTTTTCTTTGTAACTAAGTTCTAGGCCCATGGAGTTTCTCCATGAGTATATTTTGTTACCTTCCTATCTAGTCATTATGATTACAACAGGAATATTGTTGTAGTAATAAAAGTTCTTTTCTTTCTCTTTATTAACCTGGCATTGGTTAATAGTGTGCCCTGGCATTGGTTAATAGACACCTCAGCCACATGATTTTTATTATAGGGGTGAGATTTCCCAAATGATCTTTCCCCTGGTTTCTTTATCAACATTTGGGTGGTGGCAGCGGAAGTTTTATTCCCAAGATCTAGGTTTTTAAGATTTTGGGGGAAGTTTTATACCAAAGCCTGGTAAATAAGGCTTTGGGGTATACTTGCTGGCCCCCACTTCTGCATTTATCATGCCAGAGTGGGGAAGGAGCCATGACATAAGGTTATACAATTCTACTGTTTGACCCTACTGAGACATGTTCTAAGTTTAGAAAATCAGCCACAAATCAGTTCCTTCAAGACAAAAGGCAAATAGACACCTCAGCCACATGTAATCAAAATCAAAGGGACTATTACCTGGTTAAGTGGTCATTCTTTGGTAGGAAAAAGACTGAGTGAGAAATTTACGTCTTGGCAAAGCAACAAGGTAAAGGTTCCCATGCTCCTAGACTTTCTGCTTCCTGAACCCCAGCTAGAGATGAATCTCAAAGAAGATGAGAAAGTTTCCTCAAACTATTCCCCGCTTTCTCTCTACTCCTGGCAGCCACACCACCTAGTGAACAAAGAAACAGTTTAGGACTGAGGGAGGGATTGTGACTGCAATGAATTCAGCAAGTAATACTGCTGAAGCACATGGAGAGAGAAATTTTTGCTTTCAATTCACACAGTTTGTTAGTTTTGACTTCTTTGTCTCATTATTTGTAATTACTTAACTTTATCCTTCAGTAGTTAATAAACTTGTTTTTATCTAAACCAGTGTGCTTGGATTGAAGTGTTTGGGGACTTCATTTGGGATAACAATTTGTTCATATCATTTTCTATCAATAAAATGGCAGACTTTATATGAACTTGTATTGTCTGGAGAGAACTGGGCAGTTCAAGATATACATTTCTGGGGAAAAGTCTAGGACTTGGAATTTGCTGATGTTGCTCGGCAGTGTAATTCAAGAGTGGCTGTAATCGGGGCCAGCTCTAGGCACCAGCAAATCAAGCACGTGCTTGGGGCGGCACATTTCCAGGGGCGGCATTTCCAGGTAAGCAGCCGGCCCGGGCAATGCCCAGCCTGGCTCTGCTCCGCCGATTTTAAAGGGCCATGGGAGCTCGGCTCTGGCTGTGTGTCCCTGGGAGCTGGCTGCGGAGCGCGGTGCAGCCAGGCTCCACCCCACCGGCTCCAGGCCCGCCCCCGCCCGCTCGCTGTGCCCATCCCACCCCACCCCACGCCCCTCTGGCTCCATGCCACCCGTTCCCCATGCTGCCCCTGCTCCCCTGCACCCTGCTCCCCTGCACCCCGGTCCCTCTGCTCTCCCTGTTCCCTGCGACTCTCTGGCTCTGCGCCACCCTTGCACCCTGTACCCTGCTCCTCCCGATCCCTGCTCCCCCAGCTCTGTGCTGCCTATTCCCTGAGCTGCCCCTGCACCCTGGTCCCTGTGCCCCTCTGGCTCTCTGTCCCCTCTATACCCCACAGCCCCTTTTCCCTGTGTCTGTGCCCCCCATTCCCTGCATTGCCCTTCCCATTCCCCGCGTCCCATTCCCCGTGCCTCCCCTGCACCCTGCTCCCCCCAATCCCTGCATCCCTCTGGCTCTGTGCCTCCCGTTCCCTGCACCACCCCTGTATCTCCCCACTGTTCCCTGCACCCCTCTGGCTCTGCTCATCCCAGCACCCCAGTCCCCCTGCTTCCCCTGGTCCCCGCACCCCTCTGGCTCTGCACCTCCCATTTCCTATGGTGAACACTGCTCCCCCTGTTCCCCATGCCCCTCTTGCTCTGGGCTGTCCCCGCACCCTGCTCCCTCTGTCGGTCGGGAGTGAGGGGTGCTTGTCCATAGGGAGGGGCTGGACAGGGCAGGGAAAAGGCTGTTGTGACCCAGCAGTGAGTGAAAGGGGGGGGGGTTACTTGAAGTGCCTTTGCCTTTATGGAAAAAAATAATTAAAATTATATTTGCTATTTATAGGGCTAAAATGCCAGGACAAAAACAAAAACCAAACCAAACAAACAAAAAACACATTGCAAAGTGCAAATGTGTAAAAGCCAACAAAAAAAAGGGGGAGAAGCAAAAAACCTAGAGCTGGCCCTGGCTGTAATTGGACTCATACAGTTGGCTAGGAGTAGCTTTCATGCCGGAGGCTCTGTGAGAGCAGAACAGGAGTGGTAGCTCCGACAGCAAAGCAGAACAAAAGGCACCTCACACTGGAAAATTGAGGGGACAACTGTTCAACAGTCCAGAATGCAGCCTGAGCTAACTCCTGGTCTAGACAGCACTATGTTGATAGGAAGGCTTCTCCTGTCTAGAGGGCTACTGCCTCTTGGGGAGGTTGAGTATCCACACTGATGAGAAATGCTTTCCCATCAGTGTAGATAGTGTCTTCACTAAGGGCTACAATTATGGTGATTTAGGGCTATATCAACACTACAGGCAGTCCCCGAGTTACGCGGATCCGACTTATGTCGGATCCGCAGTTACGAACGGGGATTTTTCTCGCCCCGGAGGACTGGAGCTGCGGGACGCCTGGTCCCGCCGCCCGCCTCCTCCGGGGCGAGAAAAGCTGCTCCCCGTCTCCCTGGTCTGCTGGGGGAGCCAGCAAACCAGGGAGACGGGGAGCAAAGCGGCGGAGGACCCGGGGCCGGACCCGCGGCCGCTTCCAGATCAGCTGGAAGCACCGTGGGTCCGGACCCGGGTCCTCCACCGCTTTGCTCAGCATCTCCCTGGTCTGGAAGCTGATCTGGAAGCGGCTGCGGGTCCGGCCCCCGGTCCTC